CACAGAATGGAGGACAATGGCTAGAAGGGCCACATCAAGCAATTCACTGCACCATGTCACTTTAGTTTTGTGTATTTCACTGTATATAAATTATATTTCAATAAAATGCATTTTTTAAAAAAATCATTAATATGAATAATAATTAAACCTCTGAAAATAACTTGTCCTGTGAAAATAACTTGTCCTGTGTGGCAGAAGAACAACACAAGTTCCAGGGTGGATCCCTGGGAAATACCAGCATTTAGAGGGTGGGCCCAGCAAGTAGATGAGTCACGGGTGGTTCAGTGGTAGAATCCTTGCCTTCCATGTGAGAGACCCAGGCTTGTGCCCCTGCCAGTGCGCCTCATGTGGGGCCACCAGCTGTCTGCCATTAGAGGCTCCTGTTGCTCTGATGCTGAACAGGTTTCAGTGGCGCTTCTAGACTGTCATGGATTAGGAAAAAAAGCCTGGTGATCTACTTCTGAAAATCAGCCAATGAAACCCTATGGATTGCCTATCTTTTACTAATGGATTATCTAATGTAATAACAAAAGCACATGTAGGAAAAGACAAAATAAATAAATGGAGCTCATAAAAATTTAAAACTCTTGTTCATCAAAAGACTTTACCACAAAAGTAATAAGACAGACCACTGACTGGGAGAATATCTTTGGAAACCATTATCAGTAAGAATTTAATAACCAAAAATATATATATCATTTAGATGGTTTAACAACAAAAAGGCAACCCAATCACAAAGTGGCAAAGGACTTGAAAAGACATTTTACCAAAGACGACATTCAGATGACCACCAAACACATGAAAACATGTTCAATGTCATTAGCCATCACAGAGATGCAAGTCTAAACCACAGTGAGATACCATTTAACTCCCCTGGGATGAGGAGCTCTGGTGGTGTAGTGGTTAAGGCATTAAGGCATTTGGGTTTGAACCCACTAGCTGCCGTATGAAAGAAAGATGGGGCAATCTGCTTCCATAAAGATTTATAGCCTTGGGAATTCAGTGGGGGTCACTATGAGTCAGAATTGACTTGATGGCAATGAATTTGGTTTGGGGTAATTAAGATTAAAAGAGAAAAAAAAAAAAACAGAAAATGACAAGTACAGGAAAATTAGAACTCTTCCCCATTGCTGGTGGGAATGCAAACTGGAACAGCCTTTGTGGAAAACAATGTAGTTGTTCCTCAAAAAACACAAAATAGAACTGCCATTTGACCTGGCAGTTCCACTCCTAGATAGGTATAGACCCAAAAAACTTGAAGGTAGGAGACTCAAACAGAGTTCATTGCAGCACTGTTCACAGTAAACAAAAGGTGAAAACAACCTAAATGCCTATCAACAGATGAATGGATAGACAAAATGTGGAATGGATAAATGTACAATGGAATATTACTCAGCCAGTAAGATAAATGAAGTCATGCTGCAATATGGATGGAGTGTAAAGACATTATCCTGAGTGAAATAAGTCAATCATAAAAGAAAAGAAATTGAATGATCTTGCTTATGTAAAAAGAAAAGAATAGGCAAATGTGTAGAGACAAAAGTTTATTAGTGGTTAACTGGAGCAGGAGAGAGGGGGAGAGGGGAGGTTATTACTTCGGTTTATAGTTTCAGTTTACAGTGATGGAAAAATCGCATTAAGGGTAGCTTTGTGCAAGCAATGTAATTGCTGTCAATAAATTGTACAGTTGTAGAAGTTGAATTGGCAAAAGTTGTGTGATAGATATACTGACAACAACGACAACAACAACAAAATAGTAGCTGCTGAGGTTCTTTAAATACAACCAAACACCTCATGACATTTTATTCCTTGGTTTAGAGGTTTAGGATCGTGATTCACATTCCAGTTAATTGGCCTTTTACTGTGTTTAGTGCTTCTGTTCTACTTCCCAGTTTGTTGCATAGTGACTGGGGTCTTAAAAGCTTGCAAGCAGCCATCCAAGGCACAATTTATGTCTGTTTGCTTGGAGCAACAGAGGAAAAAGAAGGAGAGTCAGGGATAGAGAAGGAAATGGAATGTGTGGCTAATTGCCTCCGTGAACAACTTCCTCCTTTGCCATGAGACAGAAGAACTGGGAGAACTTTGATAGTGCTTGGCTACTATTACTGAACATTTTGATCAAAGATTCTTTGATCAAAATGGGGAAAATGCAGAACAGAATTCCAAATTGTCATAGAATCCAGATTGTCTGGAACCATAGAGGCAGGATGAACCCCATAAACTACTACCCTGAGATAAACTTTAAACCTTAAACCAAAAACATCCCCTGAAGTCCTCTTAAAACCAAACAATAGTTTAGCTTAACTAAAAAAGAATGTCTGCCTTGAGCATTGTGTTTATTTAAGATCTATCTCTATGGGGATCGAATTGACAAGAGTAACTTGAAAGAGTAGATAGGAATCTTAGGGGGCAGTATATTTATGTTAATGGAGAAGGAACAACTCAGAAAAGGAATGTTCAGGTAACTTGAAGAATGTTATCAATGTCACTGCACTGTACATGTAGAAACTGGATTGGTTATGTTTTTGCTATGTCTATTCTTAACAACAAGAAAATAAATTATTCAAAAAACAGAAGAAATGAAACCCTGTGGATCACAACGGTCTGATCCACAGCTGAGCATGGGGATGGCACAGGACTAGGCAGTGTTTCTGTTCCATTGTGCATGGGGTCTCCATGGATCTGGGCCGACTTGAAGGCCGTGAAGAAGGGGAGCAGAGCCAACAGAGGTCGTCATGGCAAACCATCAAAATCCAGGAGAGAAGCAAGAAGACACATCAACTAACAGCATCAAAGGCCACAGAGAAGGATGAAAGCTGAAGTAGACCTTTCTTGGCTTTGGCAATTAGGAGACCACGAATAGCCTTCAGCGTAAAAATAAGGGTGGGAACCAGACTGTAGGAGGCAGAGGGTTGAGTGAAAAGTGAAGTAGTATAGGTAATGAAGTTTGACCATTGAAGGTAAGGGGGGAGCTGGAGGAGAGGTTCTCTAAGAGATAGAGTCAAATTTTTTTTTTTTTTTTTTAAAGGAAGAGGGAGTATGTTTGAAAGCCAAAGTGAGTTGTTGTTGTTGTTGTTATGTACCATCGAGTTGACCCGACTCATAGCCACCACTCCTTGGGTTTCCCAGGCAGTATCACTACAGAAGTAGATTGCCCCATCTTCCTTCCCAGGAGTTGCTGGTGGGTTTGAACCACCAGCCCTCTGGTTAGCAGTCCAGTGCCTTAGGCACTATGCTACCAGAGCTCCCGTCAAAGTGAGTAGAAGTAGAGAATTGAAGAGACAGGGAAAAGGAGGGTCACAAACGAGAAGCAATACTTCAAGAGAGAGAGGGGACAGACTTCATAGTGTAGGTGGAGAGATTAGGAGGGAGGCAGGGTAGGTGCTGTCTGGACAGGACAGGCAGCTCCAGTTTTTCCCTGTAACTGAAGGACAGTGATATTGATGGATTGACTTGTTCAAGATCACAGCATTAGTAAGTAACAAATTCTGCACTTCTGTCTCTACTGCTCTTCCAAACCCCAGATATCTTCTCAGGGACATTCAACCAAACCACTTTGATGTGTTTAAGTGGCTCTTTGCCCTCTTGGTAGAGTTCTGTTCTGTTCTCTCTTGGTACAGTGGGCACTTGCTGAGCACTGGCTGTGCTAGCTAATGCATCCCAGGGAGGCATGAAGCACAGTTCCTGCTTGCCCCTAGTTCTGCCCTCTGGCAAGTTCTATGGCAGTGTTTACCAGCCTAGCTTCAGCCAGGGACACTGCTTCTGAGCAGAGCTTTCCTGCCCCTGGCTCAGCTTTGCCTAGCAGGTTGAGTGAGCTGATCTCCTTGGCAGCTGGTTGCAGGTAGAAGTTGGTACATCTTGGAAATGAAGATGTACTGGCACTTTTCTCCTGCTGGTTTGTACCTTGGGGCTTGGTGAGTGCTACAGAGCAGCTTCTAGGAGCCTGCTACGGGCCATCCTGTAATAGCAGCCAGCCCCAGAAGCCTGGTTCCTGGAATGCCTGGGGGCAGCTGAGCAATCCTCTGGGCTGGGCCCAGCATCAACCCCTGATCAGGCACTTTCGAGCAAGCCCATGATTTGCCAGTTTACTTAGCATAACACCAGCATGATTTTGGAACATGACATACCAATTAGGAACTTTTCTGAGGCAGAGGTCAAAGAAGGGATAGTTGTCCTGTTATTCACAGCAGGTCAGTACAACTCACTGCTAATCACCAAAGGTCACTTTCATCTAGGTAAGGCCACTCAGGTGGCTAATATTTGTCTTTCAATGACTGTGGGATGACCTCCACTTAGTGTTTCCCATCTTGGCTGCATGTTAGAATCACAGAGGAGGTGGCTTTCTGTTTTTTATTTATTTGTTGACTTTACCTTATTTTATGATAAAACCAAAAAACCAAACTCACTGCCATTGAGTCGATTCTGATTCATAGTGACCCCCTTTGGTTTTCTGAGGTGGTAAATCTTTACGGAAGTAGATTGCCCAGTCTTCCTTTGGCAGAGTAGCTGGTGGGTTTGAACCGCCAACCTTCTGGTTAGCAGTCAAGTGCTTTAGCCATTATGCTACCAGAGCTCCTTTATTCTATGATATTACATGTTATATTGATTCACTTTACTCTGAGTCCTCCAATCTGTGTATGTATGTTTCTTTATTTAAATTTTCTTTTATCAGTGTTTTGCAATTTTCAGCATACAGATGCTGTATGTGTTTTGTTAGAATTATACTTGTTTTATTTTTTAATACCAATGCCTGGGCCCTGCCCTAACCAACTGAATAAGAGTCTTAGAGAGGGTGGGCTAGGCATCTGTATTTTAAAAATTCCTCAGGTAACATCATTGTGCAGCCAGTGCTGTGAGCCACAGCTGTACAGTGAGAAGTGAGTTCTGGATGATGGAGAGAGAGAGAGAAGGATCGGATTATGCAGTTCATAAAGTAATGAGGTGAATCACCTGGATGTGTAAAAAACATTCCAGTACTTGTTGTTAGGTGCTGTCGAGCTAATTTTGACTCATAAACCCAGTATGATAGAGCAGAACTGCCCCATAAGGTTTTCTGGGCTGTAATCTTTATAAAAGCAGATCTTCAGGTCTTTATGCCAGCAGAGCAGCTGGAGGATTCGAACCACTGACCTTTTGGATAGTAGCTGAGTGTTAATCATTGTGCCACTAGGGTTCCTTTCCACTGCTTGGGCCAGATTAATTTAAATGTCTATGACTAGGGACCCAGACACTCATTATTTTTGTGAAGGAAAGATCTACCACCACCACCAGTTGCCATCAAGTTTATTCTGACTCATGGCAACTCCCTGTGTGTCAGCATGGAACTGTGCTCCATAAGGTTTTCTTTCATTCTTTTTTAAAAATTATTGTAAAAAATGTAACACAACATCTGCCAATTCAACATTTTTTACATGTACAACTCTGCAACACCAGTTATATTAATCATGTTGTATAACCATCACCAGTCAGACATTAATTTTGTAAAAAAATGTTCAGTACCCCCTGCCTATTTTCCTGGTCAGTCAAGGCCAAGAACATGAGTCTTGACCAGTGCTTTTCCAGCTTGAATGTGCATATGAATCACCAGGAGAGCTTGTTAAAAAGTTCTGATATTGTAGACCCTGGGTGGTACTAAGGAGTTCTGTGGCATAGTGCCTAAAGCATTTGACTTCTAACTAGAAGACTGGCAGTTCAAACCCACCAGCCACTCCTTGGAAGGAAGGTTGGGCAATCTACTTCCGTAGTGCTATTGCCTCGGAAACCCA